ATATCTGGAAGTTTAAGGGAGCTCTTCTGCCACCGCATGTTGAGGCCGTAGAAGCAGGCAGCAAAAAGCGGGTGATCACTTTCAAAAGCACTGAAGGTTGCCAACTAATCAGGAGCTTCACCTGACCTTGCACCATTTAAGAGTGGTGAAAGTTAGTGTAGAGTTGTGCTGGACTAGGAACCTGTGAGATCTGGCTTCTGCTCCCCACTCAGCCATGAAGCTCACTGGACTATTTTGGACCCGTCACTCACTCTCAGCCCAACCTACCTCAAAGGGCTGCTGTCATTATGAGGATAAAATGGAGCTATACAGGTCTCCTTGGGGTCCTCACAAGAGGCGAGGATATAAATGCGGTATAACGACGACGACTGTAGCTTGATTTGCAGGCATCAGTATGTGAAGGTCACCTTTTCCCAATGAGTGTGAGCATCCGAGAACTGCTGCTGCCGTGAAGGGCACACCTGCATGGCAGTGGTCCCTGGAAGTCGGCAACCTAAGTGTACAGGCAAGCACAACTTTGTTTTGAAACATTCTATAAACTGCATGTTCCTATTCACCATGTTTCCATTTACCATCAGAACAAGCAATGTTTCATAGAATAGGCCTCTTCCGAGCTTTAATGTTGTCCTTTGTGAAGTTTTTAATCCAGCAGAACAAAGAACATTGAGGTTTGCTCTAGCTGAAGTTCTGAGCATGGGCTTAAACTTGAGATATTTGCTTTTTCTCTATCTGGAGAGAGAGACCACCATGGACCTGTGCCCAAATTCTTTTTACTGGCTTGTATCAGAAAGCAGCCCAGTTCTCTGCCTTTGTTCCCAGTTGCCCATCCTAAGATAGACACAAATGAATGGAAAACTCAGATCTGGAAGCTAATATAACATTCCTCACTTCAAAATCACTAAAAATCTTCTTGGTCTTTATAGATGGAGGTAATTTTGAAAATACAAAATAACATCCAAAGAGACTGCATTGCAAGCATCCCAGCCTACCACGAGAACAACTCTCTCGGGCCTTAACCCAGCTGCACGTGGGTCTGAGAGGCAGAACTGCTTACATTACATTTGGTTTATTTATACAGTCCTTAACGCCATGGCACTCACTTTACTGGAAAGGAGGGGAAATAAATCCAAGCAAGTTAAATGTAAGATTACTTTAATGCCTGGTCAGTGAATCAGAGTGTGGCGCCCCCATTGCCAGAAGCATGAGTTACCAGAATATAATTTACAGAGTCTAGGAGAACGAATAACATCGTTTTTTAAAGTCAAAAGGACAAACATCTCTGAGTGCAAGCAGCCAGCTCCTGAAGTTATTCCGATGAGGAGATATATGGCCCCCTTTCTGGCTATCTGCACAGTGATGGTCCCATTTCCCCCTATGAAGTCACCCTCTCTAGTCACTTACTGGCCATGCTTTGTCATCCAACAATTACATGAGCACAGAATTTACACTAAATGTTTGGGACTGCAGGAGACAGCAAACTCGCTTCTAATGTTTCACACAGATGTGAACAGCATCCGTCCAAGGCAAAGGACATCCTCTACCACTCAGTCTTGCCAAGCAAGGGAGGCTGCAGTGGGGGAGCAGGGCGCCTAGCCCCAATGCAGTTCCCAAAATGCGTGGAGGAGAGGCCTAGAGTATAATAGCGTGCCTGCCGCTGTATATTTTAGCTGTCCCAGTCAATGCTTCTCACTTCTCAGACAGGAGAAAAGCAAGGACAGGTGTAGCCACAGAGGGTGGCTATCCACTACTTCAAACCTTTGATATTTGACACCAGAAAAATCATGCGATAGAGAGAGATTAGTGACACTGGGCTTGTAGTGTTCTGCACAGACCCAGCAGACACACAGTTGGTGAGGAAGGGTGAAGACCCAATCTCAGATCTCCACAGTTTGATGCTCCTCAGACTTTCTGGACTGTCATTCCCATAAGCCCCAGTCAGCATGACCAGTGGGTGAGAATTATGGGACTTGCACTCTAAAACATCTGGCGGGGACCATGCTGTGCACCCCAACCTGTGTCTCTTTTGCAGCCTCTGCAACCGCCTACTCAAAAGAACTCTCCCTGTCAAGAAGAAGCCATTTGGTGCCCTTGCTGTTTAGACTACATCTCCCATAAGCCTGACTACTGGCCGTGCTGGCAGAGGCTTCTGGAAGTTGCAGGTTGCCCAATCCCTCCCTCTGCTTCAGAATATATAGCAAAGCCAGAGAATTACCCATTTCAGTAACCCATGTCCATGAACTAGATCTCCATGACAGCCTGAGCCGGCCTCTTGCAGATACGGAGTTTGTACAGTTCAGACAGAAAATTGTTTGCATTCCCTTGCTCCTGTCACACCCCTGCCTTAAGCTACGTTTTTTCTCTGGCCAACCGGGCATCAGCAGCAGGTTTCCAAAACACAAGCACAACTGTTAACACACACCCAGCTCAGCTGGTTGCCTGGCAACCCCGACAGCAGATTGCCAGGACCAGCTGCGGGCCTTACAACAAGCCCCAAGGCTGATCTGTAGTGAGCCTGGCTCCTTAGACCCTCCAAAATAGTCCCCTAAGCCATTTGCTCCACTGGCACGGTCATAATCGGGTCATGTGTGCCGGACAGGTGATCTAACTCGAGGCCCTTGCTAATCATAGCTCTGCAAAACACAGGGTTTTAGTTCTGTGTTCATCCAACATAGACGAAAACCGCTGGAATGAATGAGGCTTCAGCTTGTCACAACAAAAATCCTTTTCAATGGGTCTACTCTACACAGGACCAACACTGGATACTGCTGACAGACATGGGAAAGCAGAAATGAACAACTGGCTGGAGTACATTTCCTTTGAGAAAAGAAAGCGTTCAGGTCTTTTTTCATTTTAGATTAAAAAAAAACTAAACCGAATAAATAAAAAATGCATTAAGAGGATGAGGGACATTATTCTTCGGCGAATTGATCAATATCCTTTGCTTGCCAGGCTTTTCTCATCCCCCCCACCATGGCATGTGGGGGGCAGGGGGTGCCACAGTGGATGGCAGCTTGCAGGGCTGTGAGGCAGGCTCCTTGGCAGTCCTATTTTGCAAACTTTTGCCTTTGCACTCTCTTTGTTCCTTTGTAGTAGTAATTTAAGTAATCTATAAGCTCCTAACAGCCCCCTGCTGCACCCTTTTTCCTCACTGCCCCCCAAATCTTTCCACTGCAACCTAGTGGGTGGTACCACCCCCTTTGGCCATTGCTGCTTTAGCCCATCCTTACTGAACCTGATGTACTCCAGATGTTTTAAGCTACTCCTATCTGCCTCACACTTCTGGTGTGTATTAGGTTGCAGACAGCTACCCTAGCAGAAAAGGGGGGCCATCTTCCTCCAATTAGAACCAAGACTAATCAATAAAAAACTAGTCACCACTAATTTATTTATTTTTTGTTCCATCATTAATCCATTTGGCACAGGTTTTCTATCATGAATAAGATTACAGTATTAAATCTGAATTTCATCCATACATTCATCATTTGGTTGATTTGTGGCCATTCTGTAAATAACCAAATTTACAGAACAATCCTATGGGGGGAGAACGCACAGCGGAAGAGGGGAGCACCTTGACCAGTTTTGGGGTTCGCACAAAGCCCACTGCTCCTCTTCTGGTGGACTGCCTGCAGAAGGGCTAAGAGTATGCAAAGCTTCCCCTAGTTCTCTGTCGACATCGCACCTTTTTATCGGGGCAAAGCACTGCCAGTGGGGCAGGCGCAGCAGCTGAAACATCCTGCCACCAGGAAGAACCTCTACAAGCAGACCTCCCTGCCCTCTGAAAGGTGGGGCGGAGCTGCTGTATCCTATGGCCACTGGGATGCCTTCACAGGGACCATGCCATAGGGCTCCACACTGGTATTTTAAAATCGAGCACTTCTTTCTTTCAGCACTCCAAAGGTTAAGTCTTCTATTACAGGATGGAGAGCTACGGGCCAAATTTGGCCCTCAAGGCCTAACCATCCTGCAGGGCTTCAGTCAAGACCCCTCCCGCAAAGAACAACAAGGACAGCATTAGCCACTGCTGGTCTAACAACTGGTTACAGAAACAATGGAGATCCTCCACAGCTTCCTCCATCCCACACCCTGCCCATCAGAAGGCAGAGCAGGCCAGGCCAAGTTACCATGACCACGGCACCACCTAGAGGAACTGCTCCTCCAGCCATGGCCTTGCTTGGTCAGCTGCACCGCATGAGCTGTCCCTGGCCAGGGATAACCTGTGCCCAGCACAGTGCCAGCTGGTTGGGCTTCAGTCAGGGACCAGGTGTTGTCCCAGGGTGTCCCCCATCCCCAGTGCCTTTATCCAACCCAAAGAGGGATCATGGGAGGGGCATCTGAAATGAGTTCCTTACCTCAATGTACACTTTCAAACATTTATCTGGCCAGCTTATACATTCTAGTAAGCCTGGTAGCTTCCATCACTTGGCTATTTTTGTGATTTTCCTCAAAATGAGAACTTTATCAATGGAAGTACTAAACACTTGCAATCTACCAATAAAGGAAGACGTTTAAAGGAAAAGAGAAGCTTGAAAGGATAGTTCTGGACCATAGTTTAATTTACTACAATCCAAACAGCCATGTTCACCCAAAGCAGGGATCCCGTATGCTAACGACTAACTGCCATGCAGCTCAATCCCGCAATAACAAGCAGAAAAGAGGCTGCAAACATATGCATACTTTGAGAATAAGCCCCACTAAATTAATGGAGACTTTTGAGTAAATATGCATGGAATCAAGGTGCTGATTAGGTAGTATATTCCATCTGCAAAACAGTAAAGAAGAAAAAGGAGAGAGGGGGAGAAGGGGCAGACCCCAGGAGCATTGTGGGGCTTAGATTTTCAACAAATGAATAGACGCCCTGAGTATCTTTTAGGATATTGTTCAACTGCTGCCACCAGAGAGTGTAACTGATGCCCCAAGCATTCACTGGCCCACACGAGAGGAAAGATACTGGAGCCCAGCTACTTGTTAAGAAACCAAGCACACTTCAAGGAATCAGAAAATATATACCAATACAGTATTTATTCACTTGCCCCCTCTGAGCCAGATGGATTTGGTTAACAGATGGGCTTCTCCATCTGCTACAGAACAAACAGGTCAGCATACACACTGGACTAAACACAGGAGGGAGGGAGGGAGGGGAAACATGATGGGTGCCCTGTCTGGCTCTTTCACATAGCAAAGAGAATGAGGAATGCCACCATCAAGCAGAACAGCCCCATGGCCTCGGAGAGGGCAAAGCCTAGGATGGCGTAGGAGAAGAGCTGCTGCTTCAGGGAGGGGTTTCTGTAAGAGAGAAAGAGAGAGAGAGAGAAAGATACAAACTGGTCAGTGAACACAAAGCAGAGGACTGGAGTGCTTCTGTCAGCCCAGCATCTCCCCAGAGACAGCCCTTCAAGCTAAGCGTTGCTTGAAGGAGGCAAAATGCCTAGCTGCACTGCATGGCCGCCAGCCAGCTTTGCAGGTAAATCTACGAGATATATTAGTCCATAAAGCATTGACTGAGATTCCCTCACAGGAATCTCAGTCAATGCTTTAGTCAATCTCAGTCAATGCTTTAGCACTGTTGAGACTTGGGTTTTCTGCAATCTGTTGGAAGCAGAATTAGAACAATGCTTATACTTGGCACTTAGTATAGTGCTGAATTAGCTGGCAGATCTTTCAATTAAGTTTTATCAGAAGTACATCTCATTCAGCAAAGGTCCCCTGAAATCTTAATCAGCAGCTTCTGCTTGTGGTTTCTGTCCATCACAGCCATACCATGCTGAATGGACTTTCGATCAGCTCCTGTTCCCCTCAGAAAGTTTAATTACTGGTTTCTTCTCATTATTTTAAAGGAAAAGGGAACAGAGCCCAATTTCACAATGATGAAAAAGAAAAAAACACACACAATTAGGAAGAAGCCAGAAATTAAACCTCCACTCTACCAAAAGAGTAGCTGATTAATTAAGACACAATCAAATCTGTAATACCACAGCCACAATGGGAATAATAACACTAAAAAAATACTCCGCACCATTTTGCCAGTCTACACTGGCACTCCAAATGTGACTCCAGTGAGAAAATAAGTTTAAAAAGCAGATCTGAAAAGAAAAGAGGGCAATACAGAACCCACTGGAAAGCAAATGGGGAGAAACATCACCTGGAATATCTGTAAGAAGCGACAACTTCAGGGACTATGTTGTGCCAAAGCAACCCAGGTTCCTATCCACATATACAGTTATTCGTGCCCTAACCAACTTTTCTAGAGCTTGCTATTTATCTGCCCCAGAAATCCAGGTAAGTGGCTACTCATAAGCCCACCTGGAGTCGACTGGGTGACTGGGTCTTTACTTCTAAAATGTGTGTCTTACACAGAGTGACATTTCAAAAGTCAGATTCACCTGTTTGCCTGGGGCATGTGACAAGTGATGCCCCTTCTTCCACTGATTGGGTTGAGATATAATAACCCATACTTGAGGACTGAGCATGGATTGTTGGTTATTGTGTTGTAAGAACCTAGCTGATATAACTAACCATGGTAAACACCCCAGAGTTCACAATGCAACAACACAAATGGGCTGCGCACAGTAACAAGCCATGGTTTGTTAGTGCAGCTGGGTTCAGACAACACAATAGCCCATGTTTCAACAACCCATACTTATTCATTGTGGGTTATTGTAGCATCTGAACACATGCTTCTGTCATACCTCTGACAGCCAAAGACAGCACATAGACCAAACCTATAAGCTACTCACCTCTCTTCCCAGATACCCATTCTGCACTGTTTAATAATCCCACGTACCTGGCAAAGCCTATGATGAGACTGCCGAATACGGTCCCGATGCCAGCACCAGAGCCAGCTACACCTACAGTGGCTGCACCAGCACCAATAAACTTGGCAGCAGTGTCAATGTCCCTGGAAACAGAACTAGTGTGGAATGCCCGGCGCGACACTGGCAAAAGTCCATTCTGAGCAGCTGAGATGCAGCGAGGCTGGGAGGAACAGAGAACACATGGGATCAGGGCAGGACAGGACCGGGTTCAGCTTTCAAAGAGCTGGCCTTTCAGATTACTACCAGTAGCCATGGACATCATTCCTGCTGACACCTGCCACCATCACAGCGGGAATCTCCTTCCAAGCCAGACTTCCCCATACCTGGTGCCCTTCAGATGATCAGGGCCGATCAGTTCGCTCAGCCAGAGTCAATATGGCCAGTGGTCAGGCATGCTGGGAGCTGTTGTGCAAATGGTACAGAAGATGCTAGGCTGGGAAAGTCGGTTCTAAGCAAACAGAGTTTAATTAAATACTGTGATTTTCAAACACTGCTCCGGAGAATGGTGGGGTTACTGAATTGGACCAACAATTTGTACAGCTGAGGCTAGTGAGCCAACTGTGCCCATTGCTAGAGATGTGTGTTCTGACCACAGTCACGCATGCTTTCATTATGTCTGACCTGGACTACTGAAATGCACTTCATGTAGGGCTGCCTTTGAAACCTTGACTGGTCCAGAAAGCTGCAGCTAGAGGTGGGTTACAGGGAGGCTGCAATTCCCTTGTAACATCAGCTTCACTGGCTACTGGTCTGTTTCCAGGCTGCATTCAAAGTGCTGGTTATAACCTTTAGAAGTGCCATACTGCTCCAGTGCAGGAAAGGGTTGGGGCTGGGGCTGGGGTTGAAAGACCACCTTTTTGCCATTTGATCCTGCCTGAGCTTCTGGAGAAGCCCTGGTTTTGTGATTGCCACCTTCAGAGGCGTGTTTAGTGGTGACCAGAGAGAAGACCTGTTCCAAGGCTACTCCTAAGCTGTGCAATTTACTCCCAAGGGAAGCTAGGTTTGGTCACTCTCCGCTGTCCCTCTGCCAGCAAGCAAGCCTGTTTTAGTCAAGAAGGACTTCATCCTGTCAAAGGGTCTTTTGGCTTGAGTGCTGCTTTTTAGTCTGGAATGGCTGTTTTTATTGTAAGCTGATGTATTTTTAATCCATGTTAATTGTGCCTGCAAGCTGCCTTGAATGCCATTTTTGGTAGAGAAATAAACAAACAATGGCACAAATCATTGTTTGTCACAAATCAAATACACAAAGAATGGGTGACATATTCCCTGGGGGTAACGATGCAGGGAAAAAATGCTCATTCACTGCTGTCAATCAATCCCCTTGAAGTACAACCACCGAGCAGGCTTAGATACACTATGGAATACACTCAATTCATGCAAAGAAACACAGAAACCAATGAAATCTGGCTAGTACCCTGCATGAACTACAACACACAGGAGTATTCAAAAAAGTGGGTGCTGTAGTGACCAGACTATCAGGCTATGGTCAGATTTGGAATTAAATACCCATTTAGCCATGAGGCTTACTGGATGAGTCAGTCTCTACTTCTAAGTTAAACTACTTCGCAGGGTTGTTGTATGAGGAGGAACTCTGTGTGGGTAGGGGAAGAGTCAACGCTGTCCTGAGCCTTTTGCCAGGAAAGGGAAACAGGAAATGAAAAAATGTGAGTTGATATGGAGAGCATTCCCCGAAGCAAGAATATTTGAAAAATCTCCAACTTAGAAATTCCAATTTGGAAGTTGGTTCTTAATTTCTCAGTTAGTTCCTTGCTGCTGCAAGAAGAAAGTGGGATAACCCCATACAAGCCACTCTGAGCTCCCTGGAGGAAGCACAGAGTAGGAATGTGATAAACATGAATGAGTCTAATGTAAAGACATTCACCAGTCTTAAACATATTCTGGAGCCTTAATCATACAGTTTTAGAAAGGCAGCTCTGAGCATCGTAATACTTCCTGCGATCAAAACATACACCACAAAGTACCAGTGTGATGTAGTGGGTAGAGTGCTGGTCTGGGACTGAGAAGATTCAGGGTCTAGTCCCCACTTGGCCATGGAGCTCACTGAGTGACTTTGGGCCAGCCCAACCTACCCCTCAGGGTTGTTGTAAGGTTAACATGAAAAGGGGGAATTATGTAAGCCACCCTGGGCTCCTTGCAAGAAAAAAGGCAGAATATAAATATAATAAACAATTGAAATTATACACAGAGTATGCTACTGGTAAACCAAAAGACTCAACAGAAAAAGGTATTCTAGAAAGGATCTTCTCTTGCAGTCATTAATAGCAGCTAAGTATGTTCCTGCATAACCTTCTGGTAAGTTCTGAAGATCTAGGGTCTTTCTCCCATGGGTAAAGCATCCCACAGCTATGTTGCACCGATTTACCTCTTCCTTCCTAGCCTCAGGCCTGTTCAGAACACAAGCAGAGATGGGCCTGGAGAGTAGCCAGGAGCTGTTCTTCACCTACAAAAAGGAAACATTCGGGTTGAACATATGGAACAGAAAGAAATCTCCACTGACAAAAGGGACTTCCACACAAGCGTATACTAGTTTTAGAGGCGTAACTGCTAGAAACAATCATGACTTGACAATGCCCCCATCAGCCAGCCTAGCAATACTTCTGGCCGATGATGTATCCTGTCCCATTTCAAGCCGAGCATCCCTCACACCAAAGGAGGGCTGCTACCAATGGTGCTTTGATCCATGCAGATGAAAAGGACATGTGCTTTGTGGAATTGGTTTTTTTTAGTGCCATTAGGAAGCCTGGGTGTAGAAATGCTCTGATAAAGGATCAGCCATCTACACCCCACGGGCTCCAGATGTATTAGAATACGATTCCCATGATTCCTCACCAGCAGAAACAGTCTAAACCAGGGCTATTTACTCAATTAGATGTAAGTTGTGCAACCCCACCGCCTGAATTTTGCCCCCTCTGTACCACAGTCCAATAGCCCCACAGGGAAAGACTCCCTTCCCAAGATGTAATGTTGCAGGAACGAGTCCAGCCATTCTCAAAACAGGGAACTCAAAATGGGGTCTCCGCCTACAGTTATCTGATGAGTAGAAAGGCATCATAATTCCAACACCAGTCAAAGCAGCAAGATAATGCCCACATAATGTCTGGCTTAATTATTTTAATTTGCTTTCTGCTTCCATCTTGGTTTTATTATCATTACCTTTCTTGAATGCTACTTTTGGTGAAAATTAAAGAAGTTATTAAAGAAGTATTTCTCAGAAGGTAGAACACAGAATACAGGACTTGGAAGGAAGTGTGTGGTGTGTGTCTCTTAGTAGCAGTGACAAGTCACAGACAGAACTGGGAAAAGGTGCAAGGAATACAGCAGTGCTCATGGAAAGCCACCCACTTTCATAGGAGGAATGGCATCCTCTCCACTAGTATGTCTGTGTTCTGTTCCGCTCCTCCTTGGCTAGCAGCAGCAACTTTCAATGGGCTGCAATGGAGCCAGGTAAGAGCGAGAACCACCTTAGTGCTACTGCACTCTTTTAATTGCAGCAGGGCCAGGAAAGAAAGTGTCTTTCAGTGATGTAAAAGCCCCATTGTGTAAAAAGTAAAAAGTAAAAAGAGCAACAGGAGGTGCATCATGCCATTTAAAATGCATGGCCTGCATGCCCTTCAGTTTTTAAGGAAGAATATTGGTGTAATACACTCAAGTGTTAGTGAGAAACTTCAGATTAATGGAGGACTAAGGATGGAAGGAAGGATGGATGGATTTACAAGGGCAGAATGACAGAGCACCAAGGTAAGTGCTTTCCACTCACCACAAAATGTCTCTCCAACCCACTCTGATTGTATAGTTTAACAGCAACAGTTGCCAAGATGTTTTCAGATTTTTCTTTGCCATCACAAGGAAAGAAATAGAAACTAGAAGACTCTTCAGAACTTACTGCATGATCAATGAGCCCATATTCCATATCTGATAGCATACAGTTGCAACAATTATTACATCTTTTGAACTTACTTGTCTGCAAGGGCAGACAATACTTTAGCTGGTGCTTTGAAAATCAATGCACTATAAAAACAAATAAACCCTTTTGTCACATCTTAGTTACTCACAAGAGTGGGAGCAGAGACGAACTTTGCACAGGCATACATATTCAGGGATGTTAGGGGTAGCCACACTCAACAGCTGGAAAAGAACCAAACACCATGGCATTAGGGAAAAGTATTTGCAGCTTCTATTGCCTGCAACCAATAGAAAGAAAGCTATCACACTGGGAAAGTCTGTGGCAGCGCTGATTTATGGAGGATGAGATGATCTGATCCACAGTGAGAGTAAATGGAAAAAACCCCTAAGTGATAGTGCAAAATCAAACCACAGTGCACAATGTGAAACCCACAGAAAAGTAATAATAGTAATAATAATATAGAGTACACAAAAATCAGAACGACCTTTATAAATCTGCCCTAAGACCATTAACCTCTTTAAGATGGAAAGCATCTTACCATTGATCTAGCAGCCCTGTGACCAGAGATGCAAAAACCCTCAGGAGAAAAATCAGATACCCACTGGGGGATTTCTAAAAAAAATTAATAAGATGACTTGTATGTAAGAGCCAAGCAATCATTTTTCTGGAAATTTTAAAGCCTTGGGGGAAAATATCTTCACCTCATAGTATCTCTACTTATTATGTCTGGTGTCAGGACATTTTGGCTAACACAGATGGGGCTAATCACAGGCAAAGGAAAAGTTATTTCCATGGGAAATAGATCTACCCAATCCCTGCTCATCTGCGGAAACTCATCCATTCATGATCCCCTAAAGCTCTTTTAAGCTTCTAGCAATGCTCTTTAGTGCTGAGAATTTCTTTTGAAGCCCTTACAAGCTCCTTCAAGGTATTTTAACCAGGACAGCAATACCATCAAGCATTGATGTACCATATCCAACACAGCCCTGTTCCTGTGCTTCTCCTCTTTCTCAGCCTTCCCTAACCTGGTGCCCTCTAGAAGCACTCTATTATAACTGCCAGAATTCTCTGAATTTTTTCCTTCCTGCACCATATTTTAAATAAATGTTTTGTTTATTGCACAGGAAGGAATGGCTTACCATGAGCATTAAAACAGTATTTTATTTATTGCACAGAGGAAAAATTGACATACAAAAATCAGACATTCAACATGTCAAATCTTTAATATACCCCCCCCACACACACTAGAATAACAGTAATCAACGCACACATTAAAACAACAATAATCTCCACATTCTAACAGGTTGCTATTCATAAAGTGGGATTAAATCCCAGCTACAGCTTAGCATGAGTAAAACTACTCTATGGGGTACTGTAATTCTGTAAAGAGCTTAGTATGGATGTTGATGGCTGGCTAGCCATTTCAGTCACAGACATTTAATGTTGCCTCCTGTGGCATTTTATAATGATTTTTTTAGAGGAAGAATATTTTCATTCATGAAGGGGGAAAGGGGGAAACATATATTACTACTTGTTAATAACTGCAAATCAAACTGCTGTTGACAGCAAAACCTGGAAAAACAAAAAATAAAACAGAAGGGCAATTCTAAGGTGGTCCTGAGGAAGACTGTCCAGATGTCCACGGGCCAGTAGTGAATGCCTCTAGCAGTAACCAGAAGAGCAGGGCTCCGAGCATCTTTCAACAGACTTCCAACTTGTACCACAATTAGAGGAACAGAAGACTCCCACTGTTTCTAATCAAGCATAAATGCAAGATTCCACCTCTCCTTCAAGTCCTCTGTTACATGGAAAAAAACCTGAAGGGAGACATGTGTTATTCACTTTTACACTGTGGCTGGGAAAATGTGAGACTTTTCTCTACTAGTCCTAACAATCCTTAAACTTATCCAGGGTGGAAAGTATGCAAAACGCCTGCCTTACTCTCAAGTCTTCTGTATCTGTTAACACAACCTTCCTGGTGCCAATGCTCCCAGATGCACAGGGAAATAAATTGTAGTCCAACAGATCTAGAAGGCACCACATTAGGGAAATGTGTTTCAGAGAGCCGTAAGAACAAATAGAGGCTGGCTAGTCAGTCAACCTGATAATTACAGCTGTCTGGCTGCCCAATTAATGATAAGCGTTCGTGCACAATATAAACTCCACTTGGATGTAAGGGATGCAAAGGCATCTTTAAAGTTACACAGTTCCTCATGCCTTAGAAATCATAGAACAGTAGAGCTGGAAGGGGCCACTGAGTCCAACCCTCTGCTCAATACAGGACTCCAAATTAAAGTATTCCAGACAGATGACTATCCAACTGCCTCTTAAATGCTTCTAGTGTGGGAGAGCCCACCAGCTGCCATACTGCTTCAACTGGGAAAGACTATCTGACTGTTAGAGCACTACTGCAATGTAATCAATTACCTAGGGAAGTGATGGGTTCTTCCCTATCAGTGAAAATTCAGGTCAGAGTTAAAAATATCACCTTCATTAATCCTCACAATGATGTTGTGAAGTATCAGATTATTCCCATGGCTAGATACATACACTGAGAAAAAAATCAGCTGTACATCTACGAAGTCTAAATCCTACAAGACCACATTAGAAAAAGGGATGGGAAAGGGAAGGGGTCCTATAGCAATTACGTTTGCCACCTTTTTCTGGTCTTAGTCATTCTATTTTAACGGCTGCTGATATGAATTGAATCAGACGAAACCTTTTTGTTTCTCGTCTTTTTCCTCGCTGAAAAAAGCTTTTCGTGCTTAGCTTCCCTCCATCAGAGATGCCATTTAACGAAACGACAGGGAAAACGTGGCAACTTTATTGGAACCAAAGATTTTGCACAGGCAAGGGCCTCACATGCATCGGTTTTGCCGTGTATCGACTGTCAGCGCAAATATGCTGTGCCATCAGGCTGGTTTTATCGAAGTCCACCTTGGCTACCTATGAACCCGACTTGCTCCCACGGAAAATGAACCTTCCCCTTCCAAGTCCCACCCACGTGCCAGCGAAGAACGTTCCCAAGGTTGGCTCCTCCCAGCACAGGCTCCTCCCCCTGCCCCGCCAATACGGGGCATGCTCTGGCCCATTCTGCTGCTCTGTGTCGCCGTGAAGAGGAGGAGCACGAAGACAAGGTGGAGAAGCGACAAACCGGGGAAGGGGACCGGGACTAGTGAGGCACGAGAATGAAACACCTCCCTACGCCTGAACTCCGCGACCGTACCTGCTGCCCGGCGGAAGAGAGCGAGAACAGACCAAGTTTCGCGCCTGCGCCAGCGGAAGGGCGAGTGACGCGACATCCGCAAGGCGCCCGGAAAAGCTGAGGAGTGGAGCGAGCGCGGAAGGCTAGACTATCCGTCAAGCGCAAAGCCGGGAAGAGACCTTTAGATCGCTACAACGCCACCTGCTGGTGTGACGGTATTGCAAGTGAAGCGTGGCCCTTCCTGGGCGTCTGCAGGGGAAGGGCCTATTAGCCGCTTCCCTTATTTTCAGGTCCAGCCGCGCGGTTCGGAGGACTTATGCGTGCGCCTCTATTAGAAGGAGTGGGCAACGTCGTAGGCACGAGTGCTCCGGGAGCTGCGCTCTCAAGGACACGCGGAACGGGTTGCAGCCTAAGGCCTTGCTTGCTTGCTTGCTTGCTTGCTTGCTTGCTAAGTGGGCGGAGCGCTAAGGCGAGGTGACTCCTGTTGGGTTCTTTATTGCAGGCGGGCTGGCATCTCCGAGGATGTCCCTCAAGCAGAGTTAATTTGAGGCGCCACTCGGACCAGTTCCTGCGTCGGTCAGGCGGATTGCTAAGTTCCAAAAGATGTAGAGTCCTAAGCCATAAAGCACAAATCCGTCTAAAATCACCACGGGCTCATTTATAGGTACATAAACACATTTAGAAAGAATACTGAGGATGAATTTAAATTTCACCAGAGGCAAAACCCAGCCAATTACTTTCTCATCCTGATCATCTCTATAATTGAAAATTTTTATTTGCACCAAAACCAATAGGAAAACCCCCTGCCCACTGCGGGATTTATTCCCATGCAAGGAGAAATGGTGAGCACAATATATGTGTTGCAACATGTAAAGGGAGATTTAACTGCTCCCTTCTTAGCAGAAATCTCCCTAAACAATTCCCATTTGTGTGGCAACCAAGCTAAGCAACAACCTTTCCGTTGGCATTAATGGAGGCCTAGGGCAGGGATCCTCAAACTTTTCCACCAGGAGGCCAGTTGAAAGGTGCAGGCGGTGCGGGTGGGCCAGTGTGTGTGTGTGTGTGGGGGAGAAGCACATGCAGGCACTTGTTCTGGGGTGAGGCGTGGGGGGAAGCGGGGGGGGGGGGGGCGACACACACCGCGAGACAGACCCAAGAGGCAGCGGCTTGCTCACTTGGAGATAATTTTCTCTGAGCGAGCAAATGGCTGCCTCCCTGCATGTGGGGCAAGGTGGGCAGTGGTGGATGTGTGGCAGGTCCAAATGGGCATGGTGGGCCGGATCTGGCCCCCGGGCCATAGTCTGAGGACCCATGGCCTAGGGCTTTGAGGATCGGATCCAAATCTCTAGGAAACAGGGCCAGGCCCAGGGCTGCATAGGCCTGGGCCTAATAAGAGCCCTGGTGTCACAACCCATGCATGTTGGAGCATATACCTTCTGTTCATCACTGACATTATATTCTGCCTTTTCTCCACAGAAATCAAGGCAGCATAAATAATGCATCCACTCCCATTTTATCTCACAACAACCTTGTGAGGGAAGTTAGGCTGTGACTAGCCCAAGGTAACCCAGTGAGCTTCAAGGCTGGATGGGGTTTGAACCCGGGTGTGCAGTGAAGGTCCAGGGACTCCAATGATCTGTTGCATCTGATCCCTCTGGAAGAACGGGCTTTTTGCTCACATGTGCTTCATCTCCTGCTGCCCTAATCTTTATGCCTGGAGGTGGTTGGTTAAAAAAAAAAGTCTCTCTCCTGCCATACATCCCTTTTTACAAATAGGTGTGTTCCCAGGAGACTGGGTCCTTTAACAACACATAGTTTACAGCATAAGTTAGAATATACACATTTGGGGGACTGGTTTGGGCCTGTGGGTCTGAGCTCTGGATCTTTTCAGTACCTAGCACTGCCCCTGGGCTCCACCCAAACTTTTCCAGCATTCGTTTTCAGTCTATTTATTTAAAGCATTTTTATCTGACTCTTCAGCACCCCAGCACAAAAAGACTGTCAGAATAGCCTTTTTAGCATGAGTAAAAACGAGACTTCCCATATCCCAGGCTTGTGATCTAAAAGATACGACATTCAAGGAAAATGGAGTTGCGGTTAGAATGTTGGATTGGGACTTGGGAGATCCAATGAAAGTCAGTCATAGATTCTCAGCCTAACCCACCTCCCTGGGTTGGTGTGAGGGTAACATGGAGATGAGAGGAACCTTGCATGCTGCCTTAAGGTTCCTTGCAAGAGAAGGAAAGGTGGAGTATACATGAAATGTAGTTATAATAATAAACACAGGCACTATTTCCTAAAGTTATATTGGATAATTTACAATGGCCTTGTTTGTAATTGGATATTCTCCATTTTTCAGATTTGAGTTAGATTACAAATAAACCCTGAGTTTTTTAGGGATGTTGGAGAAATCTGTGGTGAATTCGAATGAGTTCAGATTTCAATAAATCTGGCTTGCAGATTCTGCTGTGGACCAGCTTTTACCAAGCCACACAGATTCTGCAGACGTGCAGATGGCTTTTCCATTTTGGTGGTTGGGGGAACAGATTTGCACAAATTCATATTAGCACCAATTCACATTAGTTCTCATGCATCAGCACACTGACATGGGTGCATCAGCTCTAACACAAAATAGTGCAAGTAGGACACATTCTGGTTTTAAAAGTCTAAATCTGTGAGTGACCAGACACCAGAACAAAAAATGCCTGAGAGTTCCCAAGACAGAACAGTTTTAATAAAACCTGTGCATCCCTACTGGTAACAGTGGGTATCCTGTCCCACCTGTTCTGCTCTTCTCTCTCCCTCCTTCCTCCACATCGAAATGGTCTATTGTGGTCCTCTTCCCACATCTGTTGGAACAGAGGCGGGGAGTGCCGGTCCACCAAGGGAAAACCATTTCTTGTGGAGTAACAGCATGCCCTGGGGATGGCTTTCAGAGTTCAGCTTCCACAGGAGGAAGGAAGGTGGACCCTGGAGACTTTCTGGGGCTGAACCTGATGCACAGAGGACCACAGGACTGCAGATGGTGGGAGAAGAGCACAGCTTGGTGCTTACCTCTGGAAATTTGTCTGTCTATAAACAGAAGAGTCTGTAAAAGGGAGTGGGATTGTCCTTGGGTGTCCTGGAGGGAAGACTACAACCTCCCTTCCCCCTCCTGTGGTCCTGCTACTGCTCCATCCCCACCCTCTTGCCTACAGCTGCTATTCCCATGCACTGTCACTGCATGCAGGCAACTAACTTTGTGGCTCGGTTTGCTGCTATGTCGTGTTAGAGAGTGGAGACAGCAACATGCAGCCAGGTGTGGGCTCAAGATTGGTTGGACAGGTGTACCTTTGGGGTTCAAAGAGCCAATGCACCTGCCATCCTTTAATTTTTTCCCCAACTGGAAAGTACATCAATATGATGATGCACAATGAGCCCCACTTTATGCCGGAGGAAGCCAACCCTGAAAAAAGCTGCTGTGTGAACTTTCTGTGTGCTTGGTGTCCCTGCTCCAGGGCAGGCCGGGGGTGGGGGTGGGGAGCCCGAGGGCTGTGCTGAAGCAAGCAAGCGGTTGGCGCACGGATCAAGGCTGCTGCAACCTGCTCTTGTGGGTGGCATAACGTGTAAATCAGCCCCGTCTTCTCCTGGCAGCCTGTTTGGCACCTTCTGTTGTCCCGGGGCCCCTCCATCCCTTGCCCCCCTCGCGCTCCCAGTCCTGGCAAAATCCTGAGTGTAATCGGCTTGGGGAAGGAGGCCAACATAAATCAAGCGAGGCAGCTTTAGTGTCTCTGAGGAGAGAACCGGCTCTCTGCAAGGCAGGCACACCCAGGTGGGCAATAAAATGCTGCTGCTGGCCCGGGGAGCAATTTGCTGGCCCCTGAGCTGAGATGCGCCATACACCGCACCAGACCTGCAAGGCCGTAATTTAGCGCTGGGCCCCTGCACGTTTTAATTATCACTGCAGTGGAATTTCAATGGGGGCCGATCCATCTTGCTGCTTGCTGAAGAGCGATTTATGCACCCACGTGCCATTTCATCTCTGGGCCCCGATCTGCATTTTTATGGGCCATCTTGGTGCTTCTTCCCTCAGCAGTCTTAGAGGTGGGGGTGAGGAGGAAGAGAGAGAAAACCCAGGCTTGGCTGCATGGCGGGGCTCAGAAGAGGCTGTTGAGTCTCTGTGCAAGAGGAAGGACATGCCTGCTTTCTTATTAGTGCTGAGGCTACACTCACAGAAGGTCTGTGTGGACACCAGAACTATCTGAGGAATTCCTTTCCTCTCTCACACATGCACACCATGTGCCAACACAAAATAATAGTGCCTGACACAGAGCCCTGCCCCCCTCACACGCACACAGGTTTTGCGACCAAGAAACAGCATCCAGAGTGGAGATCTTCATTTATTTATTACATTTCTATCCTACCTTTCTACTATCGGCGGTGCTCATTATGGCTAATAATATTAAAATATGGACAAAAACACCGTCCTGTAAAATGAACCCATTTATTTAAAGCCCCACCACAATTAAATAGCAGCAAGAACAGGAAATGAACCACACTGACAGGTTCCCCCCGCCCTTAGGCAACAAAACAGTTTACTTGTCGAAGGCTTGCCTGAATAAAAAAAGGCATCTTTGGCTGCCAGCAGAAGGACAGTAACGAGGGGAGCAGTCTGTCTGCCCTTGGCAGGGAGTTGCAGAGTCTGGGAACAGTATCAGACGGCAAGAGCTGGGTTCGTTCTCAAGGGCTTCCATTCACTTGCGTGGGACAAAGAAAATAGACTGCATCTGGGAGAAGGCTAAATGTGCCTCTTGTTTGAGATGCTGAGGACAGTTCTAACATGCAGGAGTGCATCACAGTAGCTCTCCATACTAGCTGCACCCCAAGGAGAGTCCTGAATTGAGGCAGCAGTGCTGATCTGCAGGGGAAGACCTGGGTGCAAATCTCTGGTCAGCCGTGAGGATCACCTCATGCCGATCCCTGTTGGCACCTGGCTTGTCTAACACAAAGATTCTGTGCTGGGCAAGATGGGCCTTCCTCTCCCCTGCACCTCAGCCACCCTGCCGCCTCGGCAAATACTGTTCCAGAAGGCGATACTGTTTGTGTCTGGCAGGCAGTTCCAAGCATATGGGGCAGCAAAAGAGGCGGGGCAGAGTCTACTGGGGAAGCGGAAGACTTGCGGATAGCAAGGGTGGTGCAGCAGAGTCACAGGCAGGGATGTGTCAGGATAAAGGCAAGCCAATTTCTGGTTATGCTACCCCTGCGTGGCTGGTCTGGTAGGGGTTTCAAATGAGACTGCCTCCCAGATCCCCTTGAACATGCTCCGTTGTGCAGGGCGTGACCCAGCCAGAAGCCATACAAGAGCATGGACCACACACCAGTTCCAGGATGGCAAGCATGCCTTCAGTTATGCCAGCCTCGATAGTTTTCTGGCTGCGACCTGTTCATATTGACTCGAGGATCCTACTCTCCCTGTGGAACTTTCTGTATATTAAACATTCAAGAGTTTATGGTAAATGATTGATCACTTCTGCAAAACAACAGGTGGCCAGAAGGCAGATCTCAGGATGTTTTGGACTGTAACTCCCAGAAGCCCCTGCTAGCATGGTCAGTGGTTAGGACTGCTGGGAGCTGAAGAACAAAAGATCTGGTGTTCCACTTTCTGTCTACCTTGATTAAAAGGACAGGGTTAAACTGCAGAGGGTTTTACAATCTTTACTGTACTTCCCTTCATCACAAGTTTCAGATGGTGTGGGGTGCGAGGAGGTCACTATTTTAGCACTGGGGAAGCTGTAGGGCAAGTCAATGAGTAAGTCACGCAGGACGTGAACCCAGGCTGTGCAGAGCCAACAGAAGTTGGGGTTTCACTCCCTGAGCGACCCCTATGAAAGCACCCGACAGCATGGCTCACCATCATCCCCACCGTCAAAATCCACACAGAGGCTCCCGGAGAGCTTCACAGGTGCACTTCCAAGCAGTAAATTCTCCGCCAACACATGCGCGTGCACACCAGCACAGGAAGGGGGAATAAACACTCCCCCTCCCCTATGCAAACACACACAGCCTTGTAATAAACGCTCATTCTTTCTCTGAGCACATCTCCCATTAACTTTTCAGCGCCCCCCGCCCGCCCGCCCCCTGGCTCAACCGGCCGCCCACACTCTGCTTTCTCCTTGTAGTGGCCTGCAGCCTCACTCCCCGGGGGGAGGCTGGGAGCCAGGCACCGTATCAAGTTGTCTTTGCTTAACCCAAGGTTTCGGCAGTTGTAATTTATACACCTGCTCTTTGGGCCAAGAAAAGCCGTTAACTCATCTTTATTGCTGAGGGGAAAAACCCAGGATGCAGCTTAAAGTATTTCATCGCTTGCAGGGTCAAGTTTCCTGGGATAATTGGTTTGTGATCAGGTGAATGTGTGTGTGTGTGTCTTGCAGGGAGGGGTGGCCATTGCAGCTGTGTTGGTGCTGGCAGTGCACAATTAGTCGCAGTGCTCCCATGGCTCTGAAACCAGGAAAAAATGCATAGCCCCCTTTCATTGTGTGGCTTAAACACTCTGTACTTTGACATTACATCTCTGCTTTTGCTTAGGAGCCTAGGAAGTTGCCTTCCCAGTCCAGTGCCATCTGCTCCAGGACCTCAGGGCAGTGGAAGGGGGCAGGAATCTGTCCTGCCTGAACTCTGGCTTTGCCCAGCGGCCTCATACACTTTCCCCCCAGCCACGGAAGATATGTGGCTTTACAGATTTTGTGCAGTTTTTTCCTCCCCTTTCTAAAAGGCTGAATGTCTCTCCTAAGGCTTGGCTACTGGCAGTAAGAACTTTAAGGTAAAATATTTTGGCCTCATCCCTTTGCCTTTCCCTGAGCCACACTTTTTAAATAGGAAAACTCCACTTGCAAAATCGGGAGAGGTGTATGGCATTTTGCCAGATGAATGAGTATTGGTTTGCTTATTAGTTCACAAGTGGAGAATTAGGTAAAGTAACATGAAAATAGAAGCTGAACGAATGTCTTCCTCATCCATATAGGAGAAAACATTATGGTATTGAATGGCTTTAGACAGCAGAATAACCCATCTTCAAAGGATGAGTATGGGTTGAGCATGGGTTGTCACTGAAGTATGGGTTATCATGTCTGAACTCAGGTGAGATAACAAGCCATGGTGAACAACCCCAGGTCACTGTCCACCAAGAGACCATGGGTTCTTTTCAGGGGTTGTGTGTGAAATGAACCATGGCTTGTTAGGGCAGGTGAGTTCAGACAAGACAATTATCCATGGTTGAACAACAACCCATACTCAGTTCTCACCAACCTTCCCCAACCTGGTGTTTGCCAGATGCGTTGAACTGCAACACCTGTCATTCCCAGCCAGCATGGGCAGCTATGTTGGCTATGAATGATGGAAGTTCAAATAGTACAATCCAGCTCCAGGGTCTTAGGTGGAGGAAGGTCGGTCTGTAATGTTATGTTGTGGATAATTGTGTTTGTTTGGCATTTTAGGTTGCAATTCTATGCATGCTTAGACAGATAGTGTGGTGTAGTGGTTAAGAGCACAGGACTGGGACTCAGACGATCTGGGTTCTAGTCCCCGCTCAGCCATGGAGCCAACTGGGTGACTTTGGGCCAGTCACAGACTCTCAGCCCAACCTCCCTCACAGGGTTGCTGTTGTGGGGATAAGATGGAGGAGGAGAATGATGTAAGCTGCCTTGAGCCCTTTGTAGGAAAAAGGCAGGATATAAATTGAAAATAAATAAATAAATAAATGTCTTAGAACTCCCAGCATGCCCCTTCCATTCAGAAATGCGTAGGACTGCCCCCTTGCTTTTTATCTGAAGCATTCTTCAGTTGAGAAAAGGTCCCAGAGCAGCTTTCAAAAATTAGTAATAAAATATTTTCTGCCTTCAGGCTTACTATTCAAAACAGGGATGAGCAGACTCAGGTCTGCAGGGTTTATTCTGTGATTCTGCAGAAATCCTGAGATCCACTCGGTTGAAGTTGGTACAAAAGCCATTTTGGAATGACAGACTTTTCATCTTAGGAATTTGTTTTGCATTCCAGAACTGAATGGAGCCCACTATTCTTTCACAGAAAAATCTATTTCTGATTACTCTCAGCTGCTTCTTCTTTGTAGTATTATTCAGGGATGGGGTTGTAATTAAAGTCTTTTTCTTTTGCTGCACTTGCTAAACAATTCCAAATCATCCACTGATCTAGCAGTAGATCCTAAAGTACTTTCTGTCCACCTCTGATCTAAAAGAAATGACAAAGGGAAAGGGACAGAGGAGAAAAAAAAAAATAAAAACCAGGTGCCACAAAGTTCTTGTAGCAACCAGCTGGAATGGCAACTGCTGGAGCACAGAATGAACTGTAAGCAGCTGATCCCTCAGTGCAGGGGATGGAGAGGTCCTCCTCCTCTTTTCCTGCTTTGCTGCAGCCTCATGGGATGGTAATAACGTGGTTTTGATCCATGCACCAAAGACTTCCATAGCGAACCATACAGAAGCTATGATCCTCCTGCCTAATCCTGTTCAGTAACAGGTGTATACAAAGGCAGATCTGCCCTCCTGGATCCCTTGGCATCTGCAATGAGGCAGGTGGTGCATGGAGAATGGCTTTCTTAGTGGTGATGTCTTTCTTGGAGAGTGTTCCTCTCAAGGGCTTGTGTGTGCATGCATATGCACACATGGTGGGGGCAACTGTGCAGTCTTGTTCTTCTTTTATTCCCCTGTAATTTAATTGCAGACATATTCATGTTTAGCAATCTTTCAGTTATTGTGCTTTTCTGGATGCAGATGATGTGTAAGCTATCCTGGAAATGCTTTCCATTGAAGTGATTGCTGCCATGCCATGCCCTGTGTCTTCGCACACATCAGTGAGGATGAGCATTTTTCTAGCACTACGAGTAGTACTGGCAATAGTAGTAGTAGTAGTAGTAAAAGGACATGCAGCATTGCAGGCCAGGAGCATGAGGGGATAGAACCTGTGTATTTTAGTGACTCCTCATCTCAGAGGGCATCTCCATCAGTTTTGTATAAAGCAGGGGCACTGAAACTCTGGCCTGCCCTGAAGTCCCCAGTCTGCAGGCCCCCTTCCTTACCCACCCACTGATCATCTGGTAGTTTCCAAACTTTTGTGCAGTTTTTTCCTCTGTGCTAAAAGGTTGAACTGCATCTCCTAAGGCTTGGAGATCTTAAGGTGTTTGGCTCAAATATACTAATGCTTTGGCATCGTCCTTTTGCCTTTAGCCCCTCATTTACACAGGAGGAACTAAGGGACACGCTCATGGATGTCACACCAGTGGGACTAAACCTGTTGTCTGCCCTGGTAGTGACAGCAGCCACTGAGAATCAACCAAGCCTCCTAAGGGATTTTATTTACGTTTATTGAAGACAGAGACAATATACAACTAGGCTGGTCATGAATCCTTTTTTGCAGTCTGCTGTTGGAAGGGCTGCCAGAAGACTGTCCCCTGCTTTGAAGGTGTCCACTGTTAGAAGAGCTATCCAAGTCCTGTCTAAAGATAAAGAACCACTGGAAGAAAGAGTTGAGCTTTGAAGTTGCTCATCAATCGCTGCTAAACAGCAGGCAGAGCAAGACACACTCGTGTATGACTGGTTGGATGATGAGATGAACTCTTTGCATGGTCCTGAAAGAAATGGGTACGCCTCAGCAATGGGTGTGCCTTGAGCGTCCTGATGTGTGGCCTGTATTGTGAACAAGAAGCTACTGCTTGGACAGAATATAGAGAACCAGAATGGTTTCCTATGGGCAAAGGCATCAGACAAAGCTGTATTTTATCTCCTTATCTGTTCAGTTTGTACATAGTGCATATCATAAGGAAAGCTGGTTTAGGATGAGAAGAAGAAGGACTAAAATTGGCAGAAGATACACCACTAATTTAAAGCATGTAGATGAAGTTATATTATTGGCAAAAGCTGCAATGAATGGAAACAACTCCTGATGGAAGTAAAAGAAGAAAATGCCAATTCAGGACTGTAGCTGAATGTTAAGAAAACAAAAGTCATAACTACAGATGAATGACACAACTTTAATGTCAACAATGAAGAGACTGAAATTGTGAAAGATTTTGCATATCTTGTCTCAGTCAGCATTTCAAATGGAGACTGAAACCATGAAATTAGAAGAACACAGACCTGGAAGAGCAGCAGTGAAGGAACTCGAAAAGATAATCCAATGTGAGGATGTTTCACTGGAGACCAAGGGTAAGATTGCACTCTTGTATTCCCAATCACGGTGTACAGGTGTGAAAGCAGGACAGTGAAGAGAACTGACAGGAAGAAAATGGATGCATTTGAAACTTGGTGCTGGAGAACAGCTTTGCAAGTACCTTGGACTGACAGATGAACAAGTGAGTCCTAGATCAAATCAAGCCAGAACGTTTCCTGGAAGCAAAAATTATATCACTGAGGCTGTTGTACTTCATGCACATCAAAGGAAGGCCAGACTTCCTGGAGATGACAATCATGCTACGGAAATAGAAGACAGAAGATCAAATATGAATTGTATCAGTTCCACAAAGGAAGTCAGAGCCTTGATTTTACGTACAAGAGCTGAGCCGGACATTTTGGAGGGCATTCGTTCACAGGTTTGCCATAAGTCAGAAAAGACTTAACAGCACGTAAAACAAATTTATCAGTGAACTCATGCTCTTTTTATGTAAACAGTTGTCTATCTGTGTGGATGTATGCCTTCTTTTCTAGAGATTTGGAAATAGCCAGCCTAAGACGACAGAGAGAGTGAGAGATCACCTACTGCCAGCTTCATAAATGAAATAATAGGTAGGCATACCAATGAACAGGCTGTTGGCTCAGCTGTCAGTCGGAATGTTGCCCAACCTTCAGGTGAGCTGGTTGCCTTTTTTAGAAAAATGTTTGAAAATACTGCAGTTCAGCTATATTTACCCATTTATTCATCACCTTCTTCATTTAAAAAAGCAAAGTAAATGCATAACCACTCTGGGTATTGGAAAGGGTGACATCTCTGACACCAGCTGATTAGTGCTGTACATAACTAGTTTGCGCTTGATACTTGCAAAACGCAATGAAAATGGACTCTGGGAGGGAAGGTAAAGCAACATTTGGAGTGAGTGCAGTGAGTGTTGGGCTTCCAAAGTGGCTGCACAGCTCTAAAAGGGCACATCCACGTCTCCCTGCCCACTTTGCCTGCTGTATTCAGCATTTTAAGACACCGCTCCCAAAATTTAAAAACAAACAAGTGGAGAACAGGAATGCTTTTTCCTGTCCAGCTTGTGGAAATGGGATTCTTACTGTTTGTGCTGGAATGAACAAAATCATTAGTAACCACCTAGAAATTCTCTCAGTGTCTATCCACTGAAACAGGATAATGTGCACTTCCCAGAGCATTCAAGTTAAGTAGGCACATCTCAGGACACAACTAAAGACTGGGTGTGTGTGCATGTGGGAGCAGCACCGAAGACAAAAAGACGCCATTGGAAGCGGCTCCTATGTGCTGATCGGGTTTTTTGCGCAGCTACCTTTCCAGCTTCCTCTCCCTCCGCCCCCGTATCTACACATTCATTCAGCTATCCATCCATCCAGCTAGATTTTATTGCCTGCCACAAACCTCTCACTCACTCACTCTGAAAAGCTTCATCATGCGCCGATTAGAGGGCACCGTGTCCCTTCTTCGATGATTACAGATCTGCCCAGCCTGCTTTTCAAAGCTAAAGTGAAACAGAGCTGTGCTTACAGAAAAGAAGGTGGCCAGGCAGAGGGTGCGGGGAGGGCAGCGCGCCCAGAGGTGCCCCCCCGCAATTCCATTCCCCGTCGTCGGCAGAAGAAGAGCGTCTGATCGCTATGATGTATTCTGCTCCCAGGGCCTGCTCCTCTTGAGTTATGGGGAGCACAGTGAAAATCACTTTGCATTAGACTCAGCAGATAAGTAGTGCTGTCCCTTCCGGTCCAGAGAGGCAGCAAGTCCTAGTTCTCAGAGGAAAGTGGGGCCTAACATTTGGAGCGTCTCAGAATGAGCGTTTGCTCTTCCCAGTATGACCTTGGCATCTTTGTCTCTCTCTCTCTGTGTTTAAAGGAACTCACTTGTCACATTTCTCCTGTGGATAACATTATAGATCTCAGCTGCAGAGGGCTTGTGAAGAGCTAATGTGCTTCCTTTAAGGTCAGAGAAGCCGTGTTTAGGCCTGGCCACAGTTGTGCAGAGGCCTGGGCTTGGACAAAGGGCTGCAGAATGGGCCCTAGAGGCAGTGGTGCAGGCAGGGCTGGGCCTCAGGGCTCAAAGGCAGGCCCCTGCAGCCCATGGGTCCTCCCCACAGCCCACCCTGAGAGGGGCAGGGGATGGAGGCAGTGGCAGATGGGCCAGCATGGACATGTCCAGGGCCAGTGGATCTATTATTACTACACTGCATTTCTATCCTACATTTTTTTCTTTTGCCAGGAATCCTAGGTAGCTTACACGGCTCCCTTTTATCCACCCTGTGAGGCAGGTTGGGCTGAGAGGCTATGACTGGCCCAGAGCCACTCAGTGAGCTCTATGGCCAAGTGGGGACTAGAGCCTAGATCTCCCAGGTCCCCAGTCCAGTATTCGAACCTCAACACTACACTGGTGCTGCTGTTTACCTCCTTTATTATTTTGACGGCCATTTTATAGTCAGTGGGAGCAGCTTAGCAGGCACATGTGTGTTTATGGATGCTCACTGAATTCATACTTACTTTAAAAATTCTTCTCTGTCTATTGACAAAATGGCTCTTTTTATCCCCAAGCAAATGTTTTCAGCATCGTGTCAGAAAAAGCTAACTCCATGTTATTCCTCTATAGTCATGTGTAAAATGACAAACTGCACACACTCAGTGTATGTTACCTGAAGGAGCGCTTACATCCATATTTGCCCAGTCGCCCCCTGAGATCGGCGGGAGAGGCCCTTCTCCGGGAGCCCTCCGTGAGAGAAATTAGGAGGGTGGTTACTCGGAGAAGGGCTTTCTCAGCGGTGGCGCCTAAGTTATGGAATGCGCTCCCCAGAGAGGTCCGCCTGGCGCCGTCGTTATTTGTTTTTCGGCGCCAGGCTAAGACCTTTTTATTTAAGCAACATTTTAAATGCTAAATACAATTGAATTTTATCTGGCCAGGGCGGCTTATTTTATAATGTGAGTTTTAATTAAGATTATTTTATATGGATTTTAACTTGTTTTATCTATGTTGTAAGCCGCCCCGAGGCTTCGGCGAATGGGGCGGCATAAAAATGTTTTAATAAATAAATAAATAAATAAATATGTCTCTCTTTTTGAAAAAATCAGGGTTGGGAAATGGGCTGGTTTTGTTTTCTTCTAATGTGTCAAGAATGTAGAAGCTATTGTAGAGCGTGGGATGACATGAGGTGGGAACAGAAGGAAAGCTAGTTCTGTCCTTCATAATTGAAGTAAAACATAGAATCATGCATTTGGAAGGGGCCTAGAAGGCCATCTGTCCTGCTCAATGCAGAACTCAAGTCTCCCATCCAGATTCTAACCAGGCCTGATACTGCTTAGCATCACAAGATTAGGCAGGATCAAGCACTTCAAGTTCTATGGACACAACCAAATAAAACTGGACCGTCTGCTTCATGGACTTATGAAGTCCAGGATCTCAAGAGGCATCACTACCCTGAGAGAGGGCATTGCATTGTCCCACTCTTGCCACACATTATCCAAGCTGTGATAGGCTGGCCTTTATGGTTCATGGTCGACTTGAGCGGGAGTGCACCTGTTGCAGCTGGTCAACCCAAATGCAGGGGAGCAAGGGTGTGGGTGGGTGAGAAGAAGCTGGACTTGGAGAAGGATGAGGAAGGAAGAGGAAAGACGGATCTCCCACATCCCAACAAGCTGACTTGATATCTGATACCCACCATCCACTCAAAACTGACAGGTGGTTTGCTAGTCTTTGTCCCATTCCTGTAACCCTTGCCAGGAAGGTCAATTTCTACTTTACCAGGAGCAGTCTGTGGTTCAAGGGTCTTTTCCACAGCTGCTCCCAGGCTACAAAACTTCCACCCAAGAGAGGTTAGGTTCCCTCCTTTGCTGCTATCCTTCTGCTGGCAGGCAAAAACAGCTTCATTGAAGAAGGTCTTTGGCCTGTATGTGGGGTCTATCGACTGCGTGCTGTTTTAATTCTCTAATAGTTGTGTTTTTATGGCATTTTAATGTGTGTTACTGTTTTAATCTATTCAAAATGTTTTGTAAGCTGACTTGAGTAGGAAGGTGGGGTATAAATCAAATAAACAAATATATAAATAGACATCTTTTCCATGCTTGGCCCTGCCTTAAGAAGCAAGTCAAGTGGAGAGGAAGTCTGCAGACACTTCCAGAACTCCTCCTGCACAACTTGGCAATCTTCCTCCACAACACTTATAGCACAAAGCCTGCAACTCGTGTGCAGAAGAGGGATGCTGTTCACACAGCATTCACATGGGCCTGATTCTCTGTGCACCTGGTTTCAAGTCGGACTCAGGGTCAGAAGAAAGTGAACTGAAGTCTGCAGAGTTAAGCTAAGGGAATCTGATAGATTCCCACCTCCAAAATGGATTCCTTACACAACCCTCTCTGGAAGTACCTAAGATTACCCTGGGTGCTAGTGTGACATTGCCTGTGGTCTTCTTGGAAGCCAAGTGAGATGGAATGGAAGGAATGTGTCTTTATTTGCTCTTCTCCAAAGAAAAGCTGGGTGAAAGAGGACTTGGTCGCCTTTCCTGGGTGCAGCTTGAGTGCTGTCTCATTTAACGCACCTGCTAACAATCCCTGTTCTGTGGCTGGAGAGCAGCAGACCTCAGGCTTGTCAGATCTACTTCATTTTATCCCTAGAACCAAGATTCACCAACCAGAGCTTGATGGAAAACACACACACTTGTATTAAAGAATGGAGTGCATCTCAGTCTACACTGAGCCTAGACATTGGTTCGCAGTTCCAGAACTAAATTTACACAAATGGCTACTTCTGCTGATTGTGCCAAGCTTTCTTCACTGCAACAGTCTAGTTTATGTGGAGCAAAATCATGTTGTTATGTGGGAGTTGGAAATCCTTGCCAATCTAGAGCAAATCACCTATAGAGATCTACCAGTAAATCCCAATCTACCTTCTGCCCATCTCTGTGCCATACAGTTGCAGAACCTCCTCCTCCTATGGAGCTGATTTGATTTGACATCATTTCTTAGGGCAGGTTCACACGACATGACAAGCCATTATGGTTACTTTTCCAGGGTGGTCTGTTACGTTGTCCAAACCCTGTTGTGGTATTTCGGCATGGTACATTTTGTTTATAGAAAGCACAATAATAAACAAAGCTCTGTTCTATGGCTTCCATGCTTCACTGTGGTTTCTCTGATTGTCTGAACTCACATAGAGATTCCCATGGTCCTGGTATGCAGCGACCGCAGCATCCCCTGGACAGAGTGGCAGCTGCTGCAGGATCTGCTCCAGCCATCCAGCTCAGGATGGAATTTCAGGAGTGGTGGCTAATACCAGCATTAGGAGGACTGAGTGGGAAGGGTGGAGACCACGCTAGCAAGGAAGCCATTTGATTGTTTGCCAGGCATGGTCAAGCAAATAAACTGCAAAGCATGGAAACCACACAGGATTGTTTGCTGGGATGTGTGAACCCAGTCGGTGTCTCTGTGTGCTGAAACGGCATGGCCCCAAGGCATGGCCCTGAACCTGAAAGGAATTTTTGTACACGTTTGAAATGGCATGGCAGTGCTTTGATAAATGACCCTCAGAATCTTCAGCCTCGCTGATCCTTTACCATGTTTATAATACTGACTTGAACATCTAATACTGTGCTTCTGTCCAACCACCCCTCCAACATTTCTTTGGGACATTTATATCCATTGATAGAACAGCTTTTAAACTAGTGTAGGTACTTGTGTAAAAATTATGTATCACAGCGTCGTGATTTCTTTGAGAACAATATGCAAGTCTCCAGGTAGAGTGGGTTAATAGCATTGCAGTTGATTTGACCTGACCCAAGTGTCCTTATTGGTATTCCAGTTATTTCTTTATTGTCTGTAGGTGGGTTTTGATTAATATGCCCTGCATTTGTTTAATTATTACTGCTTATTTTAAGATGGTGTCATGAGGTTTTGAGTTTTTAAGGTTCTACATACAGCACTGTTTGTCTGGATTTGTTTATGCACTTCTATGTGAGGGCAGCATGCCCTGAAAGGCGGCTTAAAAATATTTAAGAGGATAAAGTTAATAAACATTCATCCAAACAGCCCTCAAGTGGCTCAGAATGTTTAAAATAAAAGCATAAATAATAATTCAAATGCCCCTTTAAAATCAACAGTAATAAAACAAGAAGACATAAAAGGCAAAAAAGTAACATACAATAAACCAGCAGGAGATAATATAAACATTGTAGCATCAAATTGAAAAGGCCAGTGTCATAAAAATTGCAGTAAGTGTCTTTCCAAAAAAGGATCCGACTAGTTTTTCTCTGGAGAGCACTGAAAGCACCAGATAGGTGCCTACATTGAGAAAGCGCTTTTTTCTGAGTTAACCATTTTGCTACTTCTTCCATGGTCTGTCCTGATCCTCATCCCTCTTCTCTTCCATTTCCAAATGCCCGCATAGCTCTGTCTTGGCTGCCTGGGCCAGCATGAAGGAGAGGCATGGTTGGGCACCTGTCAAGGGTCCAGAATCCAGATGGGCCCCCCTGCAGCTGCTCCTCCCCTTCCCCTTTGCAGCCTGCTTGCTCACCTGCCTCTTGCTCTGGCCCAGGTAATGGTAGTGGCAAAAAGGAGGGGCAGGAGATGCTGCAGCCACCTTGCCTGCTCAGTCTCTGTGGGCCAAGCAAGCAAGTAGAAGTGTGAGGAGAAAGAGCAGCTGGCAACAGGGGTGGCAAGAAGGTAGATTCGTTGAGGGGTCTGGCCCAAAGGCTTCCAAAATCTGGAGCCAGCAGGGTTTCCAGTAGGAGGAGCAACAGGGGACATGCAGCAGACCACTTGGGGTGCCAATACAGTGCTCCCCACTTCCCGCTGTGCGTCTCCTAAGGTAAATGGCAGGGATTGGGCTACGCCAGTCCCAGCCTTCCCCAACTGTTCTGCCAGAGTCACAGCTGTGAGTTGCTTGTGGGGAAGGAGGGGAGGTGGGCAGAGAGAGCAAGGCTGTGGGGCATAACTGTTGGCTCTTGGCACTCTCAGAGGGTCAGTGTTTCCCCTCAGCTTCCTGGTCTGCATAGCCAGTGTCTGCCTTGAGAAAAGGGGGGGGGGAAGAGGTGGGGGGAATCGGCTGTAAATCCAGCAGAGCGCCTAATCGCTGCCATAAATAACCATCTGAAATAGCCGTTAAGAGGGTTGGAGTTCAGGTTGGCATGACAACAGCCGGCTGGTGGTGACTCAGATGTTGGGGAAGCAAGGACTTGGAGAAGTAAGTGGACAAAGCCAGGGCCGAAGGGCAGGTGGTGTGGGTTGTACAGGCAGGATCCTGAGACAGACCAGTATTAGTGTTAGGGGTTTGGGCAGGAGGTCAAGTGTCTCCTCAACAGGTGACACCAGGCCAGGTGGCATATTGGAAAGAAAGGCCTCAGTCTGCACCCATCACATACCCCCTCCAAGATGTCATGGAGGAAAGCTGCCACTCCTTAGGCCCAAGGTAGGGTCATGAGAAGGCAGTGAGCAAGCCCATGGGGTGAGTTGCTTCCACAGGGATGGTTACCGTGGCCTGTCAAGGCATTTTGTTTTGAAATGGGAAGTTTCCAAAGCAATTCCCTGCAAGCTGGAAAGCTAGAGTTCTCTACTGTGCTCCATTTTAAGAAGAATGTCTTTTGTCATCCTGCAACAGTGTTCCTCGACTTGCTGCCCTTCAGATGGGTTGGACTACAACTTCCATGCTAGCTGGGTTGATGGGAGTTGTAGATCAGCCCATCTGGAAAGTGTTGGGGTTGGAAAAGGCTGTCTTTCAAATGGAGAATGTTCAAATTATACACTGCAGGTGAAGAAATGCATGGACAATAACCCCAACTTTCAGCAATATTTCTACCCTCATTTTAGATGATGCTCATGATAGTAATAATTTAGAATGAGAGTTTGCAGCTGCAGCAATGGCGGATGGTGGCCAGGGGATTGTATCTGTGATATACTGAGGCACTGCCTGGTGATTCACACACAGTGCTAAATTTATGCATTGCTGTGACAAACCCAACCCTGTCCCTGCTAGTTTTCAAGCATGTGCAACAGGGTGCCCACCAGCTATACTGGACTACAATTCTCATAATCTCTGACCATTGGCCATGCTGATGGGGGTTATGGGAGCTGTAGTCCCGAAGCCCTGAAGGGCCCTGTTTGCCTAGATCTCTGCACTAGATCCAAAAGCCTTTGGGTCAACCTTGAAGAGTAAATTGATTGGGAAAATTGTGCCTCTGCAGCTACACAGCTGCACCTGCACATGCAGAAACGGCCTGTCACTTGTTGCATGAGGCAGTGTGTGGTGGAGGAGAGGACCAAGGGGGTCTGCTGCTCTAGCCATTTATATGGATTGTTGTGGTTTCTGCGCACCTTCTTTGGGAGCCTGGAGAAGGCCCTCTGAAGCAACAAGTCTCCCCTCTGTCTTATCGTCACAGCCCCTCTGACTGAGTTTGACCAGGACAGAGTCATCTAGGGCACAGTGGACTTGGAACCTGGGTCATCTGGTTTCTCACCTGACCACTGGATGATGCTGCATGTTCCTGCATAGGTCTGGGGCTGTCTCTGCCAATCCTTACAGCACAATCCTATTCAGAGCCCCAGCGTTGAGGCCCTGCAGACTTGGAGCTGGAACCAAATGCGGAGCCCCCACATGGCTCCCTTGCAGCCAGCATGGAAGCAACTGCACTGCATTCTGAGGTGGCAGGTTGGCCCCAGAGAGCAGGAAAAGCATGTGCTGGGGTGTGAGGCAGGGAGGAAGAAGGCTGGAGCAGCCAGCTTATTTATTATTTATTTATTTAAAACATTTCTATGCTGCCCCCATTGCAACAAAGCCTCGGGGCGGCTCACAACAACAACAACAACAACAAAAACCATACAAAATTATACCCTAAAAATATTAAAACCCTGGCCTCCTTCCCTCCTTGCCCTGGTGCTTGATCAAGGTGATTGAAAAGAGCTGTGACATGAAAGGCAGGATGATAACAAAGAGTGCTGATGCTGAGTGTCACTTTATTCATTTTATTTTAATTTATTATATTTAGATCCCACCTTTTTTCCTTTCGAGGAACTCAGGTAGGCTTGCATCACTATCCTCCTCCTCTCAATCTTTTCCTCACACCAACCCTGTTAGGTAGATTGGGCTGAGTCTGTCACTGGCCCAAAGTAGACCCCAGTGAGTTCCATGGCTGAGCAGAGACTAGAACCCAGATCCCGAGTCCCAGTCCTGTGCACCTTTAACCACTACACCACACAGCTCTCCAGTAGAGATGCACTGGATGCACATAAGCCTTTGAGTTCAGACGCTGATGTGCAACATGGAGGGCTTTGGATTGTACCCTTTGTAAATCTGTGTACGTCATACAAAAGTCATACTGCTCAGTGGAGGGAACCTTGACTGAGCTTCAAATCATCACTCAGGAATGACTTACCAAAATCCTGGGCATGCCAGCCACCTTGTCCTCTCCAGCCCGGCTTCTCTATATGTAAAGGAGGAACACAGAAACCTGTTTGTGGAGTTGCTTCAGTGATGAAACGCTCCCACCTTGAGCCTCCGGTATCAGGTCTGGAAGGGAGAGTGGCAGCTTCAGCTTCTCGATTCCATCGCCAGCCCTTGGGCACGCTGAACCTGTTACGCACCAGCACCCCCTGGTGGGTGGCCCCGCGTCTATTGGCTGGCATTCCCGTCTCTCCAAAGGTCTCATATATATCCCTCCTGGGGCCATTGACCTATGAGGGAGTGCCATTTCTGTGCAAGCAAGCTGAGTGCCTCTTTTGGCTGGGAGATGGAATGGCTTCTCCTACCGTTTAATCACAGCGGCCTGCGGTGCAGTTTCCTGCCTTTGGAGACTCAGGGGTTGCCTTTATGGGTTGGAACAAAGCATGTGTAAAAAGTGTAATTGAATCAAGGATGGCAGGGGCCCCGGCTAAGTTGCAAAGACACAGTGGGGGCACTTGCCTCTGCCCAGTGGAGGATGCCATCACATTTCACCTCCCACTGAGCGCATGCACAGCAGTGGCTGACTTGGGATACCACCATCATAAGCCCTGGAGCAAAGGTATTGCAGGGTAACCCTCCTGCTTAGGCTGGGAGGGCGGGGAAGAGCAGCCATAATAGAGCGGCATGTTGCTCTCTTCCCACCCACGGCTGGATGCTCACAATGTTCACAATCTGTCATTTCTGTCCCCAGCCGGGGCCTACATTCCACGTCACCCCTCCCCTTGTATTTGGCACCACGCACATCGCAACAGTTCATCTGGGTGATTATACATCAATTGGTAAAGAGAGGCACTGTAGAAACAGGAGTCATTCCTGCAGGGAGTAATTGCTAAAATCTGGAGCAAGTTAAGAATGACAAGGGGCCTTGAAGGCTGCTGCACTGCCAAATCCCATTGCTCCGGGAATGCTGTTATGGTCTCCGAGAAAGAGGCTGGCTGAAGAGCTGACACCCCTAAGTGTAAGTTGAATAGAAAGCCATGAAAAGCTAGACAACAATGGCCCACCTATCCCCAAGTACCACCAATTTATGCTGTAGCAGGGCATGTGCATATGTATGGTATGCCATCTGTAGAACCTCCACGTGGTAGGACTACTTAGGAGTCAAGGAGATGCTATTGGCAAAGTTGTCTAGGTCAGAGTGGGGGGTGTTCAAGGACAGGGTAGACATGCACATGGTGGGCATGTCGTGAGCGAAACCGGCTGGAGCCAGGGGTCAGACTAGATGGCCCAGGAGACCCCTTCATGCTCGCTCAGTTTCTATCTCAGCTTACCACTTCTTATTGGACTGGTGGAAAGGGTACAGTCAGCACTTGCACCAGCTGCCCCCATAAGGCACAGACAAACCTCCAGCTTACCTCTGATTGGAGACAGTGTGGGGATTCCTCCAGGGGACAGGGCTCAGGGAGGGCAAGGGGTGAGACCCGCATATGGTACTGAATCCTCCGTCAGCCTGATTGGCTGCCAGCATTGAGCTTGCAAGGAAGAGGCAGCCCTCTCCCACCTGATCAGAAGTCCTTCACATAACCTAAGAAGTATAGTGTGCAATACGGCAGAGACCAGGCACGAGACTGCAGGAAAATCCCCAGTCCCCCTTGTCAGACAAAGGCACTTTGCAGCCTCTCAGGCATGCCCACTTGCCAGGCCAATCACAATCTATCATCACTTCCAGGCAGCGGAGGGCTGGCTCCTGTGGCAGTGAGGCTGTATATCCGCACCAGACTTCAGCCTGAACTTTTGAGGAACTGTCCATGGTTCTGAATCTTTTTTAAAAAGGTGTTTTGGGGGAAACTCGGGTTCAGATTCATGGACAGCTCTTTAAAGGCTTACGGCAAAATCCAGAGTGGGTACACAATCTTGCTGACACTGAAATCACCCTTCCACTGCTTCCAGAAAAGCCACTCACAGATTCACAGTCGCAGTTCCTTCATGTACAGCTCCTTATCTCTGTCTTTATTCTTCATGCCTTGGGTGATTCAAACTCTGCCCTTTATCTCTTGCATGTACACACACACACCACACTGCTCACTAATCACTCCCAATGGCCAGATTTTCTGCAGAGAAGCAGCTTGTGGGTGCATGGGGGACAGAGAACTTTGGGCTAGGTAGCAGCAAGTGCCTCCCCCTTCCCCCAGTCTCTGTGTGTGCGTGCGTGTGTGCATGTCTGTGTCGCTGTGTGCGTCTGTGTAGGGATAACATGCTCTTGCAGGACATTTCCCCCTCCAAATTCTTCCTCCCAGCTATTCCCCCCTCCTATTCTAAATGCAGACATGCTTAGAAAACCATGGGGGAGAGGAAGCTACTTGTGCGGCAAAACACCTTCTCTCATCAGAATTATATATAGTCTTCAGAAAAAAGCAGCCATGAAAGTGGCATTACACCCATTTTTCATCAAGAAATGTAATTTGCCCCTTCAGAAGGAACTGAATCCAAAAGATTACAAGGCCGCTACAGCTTTAAAACAAACAGGGGGGTGGGTTATCCTCCATCCAGCTGCCACCTTCTTGACCCATGTCCATTCTGTCTCCCAGGGAAGGAGGAGTTCTTATTTCCCATCAGCAGCTGATTGGAGAGAAAATCTTTTTCTGGCACAGGGAGAAGGTGGGGTCTTGGTGGGGAGGCACAGAGTGATTCAACTTATGGGAGGCCCTGGTGTTTACTGGTGTCTAGGTGTGCAGTGGCTTGCCCTGCTTACTTGTGAGCAGAGTGCTGCCTGGCTTACTTGTGAATGGACATGTAGAGACATACCCTGCTTGCTTGTGAGGGGGCATGCAGAAGCCTTGTCCAGTGAAGTGTTTTAAAATAGTTCACAATCTCATTTGGGGTCCATCTGCTGTGTTTTTGGACTCCCCTACTTTGTCTTTGGTGCTGGAATGCACCCCTTGATTTTTTTGGAATTTGGTCCTGGGGCTGAAAAAGATTCCCCAGCCGTTTTAAGACTTGCATGAGAGATGGAATTGAAACTAGTACTGCTATTCTTTCCCTTCTTCCGGAGAATTTGCATCATCAAAGTTTGTTCTTCCGCATTAAAGATTTCTCCCCTCACATTTTCTCTGTACCTTCCCCCTACCCCATGCACTTGAGCTACCCACGAGCAGAAATAGTTTCCCCTACCACCATGTTCTTTGAAAGTGAGAGATGCCTGCTCAAATTCCCTCTCTAACACAACCATGGCAATCTCATTACCTTAATTGATCTGGTCACCTTTTGGAAACATTTGGAAAAGCTCTGTTAAATCATTGGCATTCATTGGCTGCAACCCCTATTTCAGAGTTGGCTTCCATGCTGTGGCCATTTACTGTCCCTGAAATACTCCACAATCAGCTGGAAGTGGAGTTACAGCCGCCATTTCACACAACAGTTAATGTGCACTCTGGATCATACCCTTAGCGGGTGTTCAACCTTGGACAGAAGTAGCAAATGCCTCTTCAGTGTAATCTGTGCTCCAAGGAAGGCCTTTCTTGAATGAATCCTATGGAAACTTCTACTGGAATAAGCCATTACTGTGGTTTTTGTTGCTGTTGTTTATTGGCCCTGCTTGTGCATTTTCCTTGAAATATCATTCAGAGGGGTCTCAGGATTAGTCTGTTGCAGCAAAACCAATCAAGAATCTTCCAGCATTTTCCACTCCATCAAGTGCATTTCCCCTGAAATATGCACACCGCTGGCCAATTCCATTGTAAGGTTTTCCTGCTGGGGACAGAATGTTCTGAAAGCACTGCTATGGAAGCAAAGGTCCCGCGAGAACGAGCAAGGCAAATCTATTGCAGTTAGAGCCTAGCCTTCCTTAAGGCGGCCACTTACTCAATGCCGAAAAGAGAGGAAGTGTAGCACCCAAAAAGAGGATGCAGATTTGCATAAAATATGCACATGTTCATTTACAGGCATACACCCATACATGGAAACAGTTGCTATGATTTAAATAGAAATATACTCCATCTCAGATTGTGACCCAGTGACCTGTGTGTCTTGCTCCACATGCTGCCCTATGGCAAGGCTCCTTCTTGCTCTCCCTTCTTAGGCCTCTGTTTCCACATGCTTTGGACCAGGCAGCCCTTCAAAGAGAGGCCTGTCTATAAAGTAGGATATACAGGGCTGTATCCAATGCTGCTGCCCTGCTTATGCCATCAACACAGAACCAGTGCAAGCAAGTTTGAACCTTGGAAAGTCCATTGCTCCAGCTTTTAGTGTTGGCACTGTGGTAGCATGAACAACATGAACCTCGCAAACAGAACAACAGTGTTGGATACTGCCCATTGCTACATCAAAACATAGAAACAGAGCAAGTAAGAAGGGGTCCCCTGGGCCCCCAGCTCCAGCCGGCTCCTCTCATGACATGCTTACCATGTGCATGTCCAGCCTATCCTTGAACACCCTCACCATTGGGGCTTCAACCGTCTTCAACCAACTCCATGCCCTAGGGGTCCTAACCATCAGGAAGTATTTCCTGGCATCCACCCTAAATCTTGGTTCCCTGAGCTTTGCTCCATTGGCACACATCCTGCCCTCCATTGCGTGACCTGTATGTCACTAACAGGTCCCCTCTGAGTCTCCTCCTTTCAAGGCTGAAAAGACCCAGCTCCCTCAGTCTCTCCTCATATGGCTTGCCCTACAAACCAGCCACCATCCTAGTGGCCCTTCGCTGCCCTGATTCCAACCTTGCTATATCCCTCTTGTAATGACAGCTCCAGAACTGAACACAATACGCCAGCTGCAGGCACACCAGAGTTGTACAGAGTGGCAGTAATACCTCTCTCGATCTAGGAACAGGGGTCTCAAACGCAACTGACCTGGGGGCCGCTGGAAGTAGAGTCCGGGTGAGGCTGGGCCGCATCGAGTATCCCACCACCGCGGGGGTGGGCCGCTCATCCGGAGGCCGGCCCGGGCGCCGCCGGCGCTTTGAAGGCCACAGGGCCCCTCCCCCGTGCCCCGCCTGGCCCGGCAATGGGCCCACGGGCCGCGAGTTTGAGTCCCCTGATCTAGAAGCCACGCTTCTGGCTATGCATCCAAGGGTGGCTACCCCAACAAGTGTTCTGAAATATATTATTTTTGATACATTACATTCATACATCACTTATCTTTAAAAATATTGTTTAAAAAAGCAGGCGTGGTTTCTGTTGTGACAACCCCTTATGCATTTGCACCAACCCTGCCTTTTGCAGACAACACTGGAACACCTGCCGATAGATCCTGGCTACAAGCCCTTCAGGTGTTTTGGACTTCTGCTTCTTCTGCAGGACACCTGAGCAGGGAGACTGGCATAAGTGTCCTTTGACAGCATGGAACTGCACAGGCTCTGGAGGGCCTGCTAACTCCTCTCCCCACCCCCCACCCCCTATCTGTCTCTGATAATCTCTTGATGTCCTTTCAAAACCAATTACTAGATTAATTGACTCGGGAAAGGATGCAGTTGAGGGCTGGAGCTGCCCAGATTTATTTTCTAATAGGCCGCAGCGGACATGGCTTGTGCCATGGGAGATTTACCGGCTCCCTAATTCAACGACAGTTCAAATCTGTGATTAATAATTTTTTTTCCTAACGGGCTCATAATTTACCTCCTTCCCCCCATTTTTTAATCAGCCGAACCAGCAACTGGCCCCTCATCATCCTCAATTATAAAAATATTAAAGCACGCATGTGGTTGAGTGGTTGCTGCCCAGCTGGGGAATGTTTTCTTTAAATCACAGCTAAATTAACATAACAAGAGTGAGTATTTGCATTTGAATGGAAGCAGCTGAGTGTTGTTTGGGGATTGTTATGCCTCAATGGCCTGGTTTGACTTATTCACAGGGCTGCCTCCAGGGGCACTAAACCCCATGAGGTGGGCCCCTTCCTTTTTGGCTAGGAAGGGAGCTTCACATTGCCTCAAGATCATCTCCCCCCCCCCCCGAGATTTAATCCTGCTGGGATGGTTAAATTACTCCCCATGAGGACCAACCTATGTAAAATACAGTGGTACCTTGGCTCACGAACTTAATCCTTTCCAGGACTCTGATCATGACCCAAATTGATCGTGAGCCAAGTTAAATTTCCCCATAAGGTTCATTGTAAATAAGGTTAATCCGTTCTGTAACCATTTGTTTTTTAATCAGAAAAATGTGAAGCAAAGTGACAACAACGAAGATCGCGGCCATCTCCCTCTCCCTGAGCACAAGCGCAGCCATCTCCCCGCGCCCCCAGCACAACCGAGATAGCACCTGTCATCCCTGAATGTGTCCATCATCCTGGAGGGGGGCGGCGGGGAGAGACGGGTGCGATCGCGGGCGCACTGGGG